AAATTCCCCAAATATTTTCATGATTTACACAGAAATTTACCAACACAGAAATACATTTGAATTTTGTATGACACAAACCCAGTATGTTACCTGCTGGAATGTGGTCTATCCCTTCCAACTCCCTCCCCATGAATACAAACAATTCCTTGATAGTGACACAGGTCACATGATCATCACGTGACAAATCTTGAATGCTATTCACTTCTTTTATTTCCTCACCACCATGAATCTAAATCATAACCAGAAGTCTCTGTCGAGACTGTAGCTCTACTTGTTTGTACTTCTTAAGGATGAGAAAAGTAGCCATTGCCATCAGACCAAAACTGTAGAAGGAGTAGCTAAAGGAATTTCACAGACAATTCTATTTTTAGTAACAAAAGCAACACTGTTCATTGAAATCAAAAACCGATGCACTATTCTATGTATCTTAGTGTAGTCTACTTTTGTGCCAAGTTAAATTGAAATCACAACAAAACTGTAGAAGAAATAGCGTTTTAAAGGATATTTTCATAGAAAATTCTATTTTTAGTAGCCATGGCAACACCGTTCATCGAAATCAAAATCCGATGCACTATTTTATGTATCTTAGAGTAGTCTACTTGTGTGCGAAGTAATATTGAAATCAGACCGAAACTGTGGGAGGAGTAGCGTTTAAAGAAATGTCACAGAAAATTCTATTTTTAGTAACCATGTCAACACCGTTCATCGATATCAAAATCCGATGCACTATTTTATGTATCTTAGTGTAGTTTACTTTTGTGCCAAGTTATATAAAAATCAGACCAAATCTGTAGGAAGAGTAGCGTTTTGACGGACAGACGACGGACACCTTACTATGGCATAAGCTCTTCTGGTCTCTGACCAGTAGAGCCAATAAAAAGTGTGGGTAAAGTGTGGGTAAAGTAATATACATTTACAACAATATAATGATAAAACTAGAAATATGTCCATAGGACATGAATGCCCCGCGGAAGGTATATTTAAGAAATAAGGTATCATTTTTAAACAGGATATAAATACGGGATATAAATACGGGTTGGTCACGAGATTAAATTCCATAAAGCCCTGCTTTATGATGAATTTAATCTCGTACCAACCCGTATTTATAGCCTGATAGATATTTTAAAATGATACTTTATTACTTATATCTACATTTGTGATTTATCCATACTTTATATTTGCCTGATTGTGACTTTTAACGTGTGAGATGCATTATTTTTTAAACCCAACGGCATGTTCGATATCCACTGAACGCGCGTCGGCCATTTATGACGTCACTGAGAAATTACGTCGAACGATTATTCATAGGCACATCTATGACCTCTTGACCCCGTACCGGTATTTATTCAGTTATAGATACGCATTGCTTTCAGTAGTGTTACATAAAGGAAAACATTTACAAATGTAAATATTAGTAATGCAACATGAAAAGTTGTACTTGTTTATGAAATTTGATCAGAATATGTTGAATAGTGATGCAGTTGAATTGCTTACATCAGTATGTATCAGCATATGAAGTTTGACACTAATTTCTCTATAGTGGGGTCAAGGTCAAAGGAAATGACAAGGTCAAAAAATGTTGATGCAGTTGAAAAGCTCTTATTAATATGTATCAGCATATGAAGTTGAAAAAATATTATAAATGGTTTCTTTACAACTGATTTTAAAACAATTTAATAAAAATGTGGTCAAGGTGAAAAAAAGGTCATGGTCAAAAATGGCGATGCAGTTAAATAGCTCTCTTCAATATGTATCAGTATATGAAGTTTGATAACACTATCTTGAATGGTCTCTTTAATTCTTAGATAAACACTAATTTAAGAAAAGTGAGGTCAAGTTCAAGATAAAAAATCTTGATGCAGTTGCATAGCTCTCATCAATAGAGAGGTTTTGAAAGACATCGTGTACGTGTACTTGTACGTGTAAGTTACACGTACAAGTACACGTACACGTAAACTTGACTTTTATGTAATATTTTCTCAAACGTGTACGCGTTCGTGTGACGTAACAAAAGATGTCATAGGTTAAATTTTATCAAATCAAAGTAATCGTTTGCAAAATGGAAGATTTACGCCTGCTGGCTGCTACTGATAGAGTGATGGAAGAAGAGATTCTCCTTCTTTCTATTATCGATTCAGACAAGAACGTTTGAAAAGAAGTTTGATCTTGAAAGGTTAACAGAAGAGGAGTGCAAATTACTTTTCAGGTTTGAAAAAGCCGATATACACATTGTATTCCATGCATTACGAATTCACGATAAAGTTATTTGTCCTAACGGGATAATTTGTTCTGGACTCGAAGGGCTGTGTATTTTGCTGAGAAAACTTGCTTATCGTAATAGACTTTCCGACAACGGCAAAATATTAGAAAGACCAGATTCAGCTCTGTCCTTTATCATTAACAACATGTAGAAATAGTTTTCTCCAATCACTCTCATCTCTTAGCGCTGACCTTAACCGCTCATGGCTGTCAAATCAGAGTTTGGAAGAATTATCTCATGCTGTTCAAATGGCAGGTGCTCCTTTGTCAAATTGTTGGGGATTTATTGATGGAATTGTTCGACCTATTTGCCGACCATCTAGAAATCAGAGGATAGTTTTCAATGGACATAAAAGAGTCCACGCACTGAAATACCAAAGCATAGTTTTGCCAAACGGTATTATAGCGAACATGTTTGGACCCATTGAAGGGAGGCGACATGATGCCGAATTACTAAGAGAAAGTTGCTTGTATGACCAGTTAGAGAGGCATATGACAACTCCAGCTGGTGATGCATATGTGCTATATGGGGACCCAGCGTATCCACTGTCCACTTTCATCATAACACCATACCATGGACGTATGATATCCGCACAACAAGCCTTATTCAACAAAAAAATGTCAGCGGCTCGTACGTGCGTTAAATGGGCATTCGGGAAAATTCTTGCTTGTTTTCCTTTTCTTGATTAAAAGAAAAACCAGAAGTTATACTTGCAGCCAGTTGGAAAGTATTTTTTAGTGGCGTCCATTCTCACTAATTGTCACACATGCTTATACGGAAGCAAGACGGGTATGTACTTTGGTTTAGAGCCACCAACTCTCCAGGAATACTTGGCAGGATAGCGGTAATATAAACATGTCGTGCAAAAATTCCAAGTGACTAATCATTCGTGGATAACCAGACGCGTAGCCAGCAATGAAATGAAGTGTACGCAGAAAATGGTCGGGGGACTGGGGGCCGCCCTGAGGCCTCCAGTGGGTCCAGGGCGAAGCCCTGGTGATGGGCCAGGGGGCGAAGCCCCCGGAAGCTCATGGATTTTACGAAATGTTTCAGTCATTTTCTTTTAAAAGAAATCACGCTACATCTCTTTTCTCAAGCAAACGCTTAGCTAAATTATACTTCCATGAATAATTCAGGAAGAGAAAGATGATTTAATCAAATTAATTTACGAATATATTGGTATTAGAAAAAAGTTTTCAAGTGTGACAAGATTAAACAGAGAAGTAATTTAATAAGTTATCATTGGAGTTAAAGTATTTCAAAATATAAAGGGGGGTGTGGGCCTTTTGATAACCTTTTTTGGATATCAGAGCTGGATCATGTTTGGTCCTCAGTACATACAGCTTTTGTCCATTCCTGATGATGCCACTAAATACCCATGCACACGCCACAAACACAAAGTCTGTCTTCTTCTCTTTATTCTTTGGTTCATTGAAATATTTTTTTCATTTCTAAAATTGATAAAATAATTGAGTTTTAGTCTGTTGGTTCAAGAAAATGAAACAATTTTTTTTTTATAAATTGCCTTTATTAAATCAATCTTGCTTTTCAGATATATAAATGTCTTCAAAACCACTGACAGTATAATACCACACACAGTGATCAGAGTAATACTTGGAGATCGGTCAACATTGGTGGACGACAACCCCTTCCAAAGTTAGGTAAGAAATATTGGAAGTAACAAGTTTTTAAAACGTTTTAAAGCTAAAGAAAATCTTTGAGTAAGGGTTCAGCCATGGGAACAAATTTTACAATTTTCTTAAATCCCCTTAATATGATCCATAAATATTTTCAGCATAAGTTACTTGTTTATCTCTATTTGCAAAGCATCTTTGGGCGAAATGTAAATATTATAAATACTTAAGAGAAGAAAATTTAATTTATTATTTTTTTTTGCTTCAGATAATAGATTAATATGGACCCCCGTACCAGTGCCCAAGATGTGATGAGGTGTGACCTGTGTGAGATTCCTCTGGTACATGTACAGATGCACTGTGATACATGTCTTGTCAACCTGTGTACCGTTTGCGTTGGAAAACACTTTTCTGTTGATCTTTCCAAACGTCACATAATTGTTGACTTTAAAGATAGAAAATCTACTCCCTCCATGTAAAACTCATGCCAAAGAACGATGTGAAATGTACTGTAAACAATGTGACATTCCTGTCTGCATCAGCTGCCTTACATCTAATGAACATTTGGGTCATGAATTGTCTAAAGTCTTGGAAGTTCTCAATGAAAGAAAGGAAATAATTACCCTTGAACAAGATGAATTAAATAAAACAATTTATCCCATGTACCGGACTATTGCGTCTGATGTACAAAACAGAATAAGTCAGTTAAAAAAGGAATATGGAGATCTCTCAACAGCCATAACAAAACATGGAGAGGACTGGCACAGAGAAATTGACAAACTTGTCAAGAAACTAAAAACTGAAGTTGATGAGATGAAAAACACACAGTTACAAACTCTACAGAAACATCTGGATGAAATAAACAAGACAATGTCTGACATCAAAGATGAAATCAATACATTAGAAATTGTTTTAGATACTAATGACTTATCTGAGCTTTTTAGTGTCAGATCAAATTTATATTCATACAGAAATATTCCAAACGTAATTGTGCCATCGTTACCAAAATTAATTTTAGAAAAGTTCCCAGAGGAAGACATTTGTAGACTGTTTGGGGCCTTATCATTCACTTCTTTAACACCAGATGAACATGACAATAGCATGAAAACAACACAGAAATCACCAGAAGCTGGATCCTCTACTCCAGTCAAAAACATACTTGATGAACCAGAGACTGTCACCACCAAAGACACTGGGTATGACAAACTTAACAATGTGGAGTGTCTGGGTGATGAAGAAATCTGGACAAGAGGACAATATGACAACACAATAAAACTCTACAGCATCAATCAGGGATCACTACTTAAGTCAATCACAACCAAGTCAGGAAACTAGCCCTCTAACATAACAGTGAACAAAGGTGGAGATCTAGTTTATACTGACAGCTATAAAAGAACAGTGAACATTGTGAAGAAAAGAAACATAAAGGAGATGATCAGATTATACAACTGGAGACCTAGCGGTGTCTGCAGTACCTCCTCTGGGGACCTCCTGGTTATCATGTACTGTAATTATGGCAAACCAACAAAAGTTGTCCGTTACTCTGGCTCCAAAAAGAGACAAACTGTTGTCGTTGATGATAAAGGTAAACCTCTCTATTCACAGGGCAGTAGTGACAAATATATAACTGAGAACAGGAACATGGATATCTGTGTGTCTGACTGTGGAGCTAATGCAGTAGTGGTGGTCAATCAGGCCGGGAAAGTGAGATTCAGGTACACTGGACATAATACTTTTCTAATAAGCCAGCTTTTTAATCCACGAGGAATCACCACAGACAGTCAGAGTCACATCCTTACAGCTGATTTTAACAATGACTGTGTCCACATCATAGACCAGGATGGACAGTTCCTCCGTTACATAGACTGTGGACTAATGAATCCATGGGGATTGTGTACGGATACAAATGACAATCTGTTTGTTGCTCAACTGGAAGACAGTCAAGTGATGAAAATCAAATATCTGCAGTAAATGCATCACGATATTGGATTACATATATAATATGAAAAAGGTTATCTGAGTGCTGCATGATAGAACCTTGCAAAAATATTTCAATATTTCATCTTATAATTCATCAAAATACAATATATCCCTGACAAAAATTATAAACACTGTGTAAATGATGGAATGCGAAGTAGAAACTGCAAAGGAAAATTCCTCATGCATGAAAACAATGTGTATTTTTACCAAATAATGTTAGAGATAATAACATTAACACAAAGAATTAGCACCAGTTTAAAGAATGCAAGTTGCCTTAATAGCCATGATCATCTTACTTTTGTCATTAGTTCTACATTTTGATAGAAAAACTAACATTCATGACATACATGTACATTTGAATACATATTTATAAACATGTCCAAAGCAAAAAATGTATTCTTCATTTTCTACAGCCTATAGCTACATGTACAACCAGAACTAGCATTTGAAGTTATCCTAGTAAAACATCACCTTTGATGTGTCATATATGCAGCTAAGCCTATTTTAAATGAACCTGTTAACATTAATCCAGTTGCTCCTCGAAGCAACCAAAGCAACCAAAGAAAGCAATATACTAGGAGTGTTTAATATATGAACAATATATAGTTCCTTTAAACTAGATTGGGGTGTTACACTTATCCCATGTTAGTATCTTTTATCAAACCCGCGACAGGGAACTATTCCCCGAGGGCTTGCTCCTGTCAAGGGTTTGATGAAAAGCAACCAAAGAAAGTTTATTATACTGATGTAAATATATTTCTAAAGTTTGAATTTTCTTTGGAGTTGTACAAAAATCGTGATGACGTCACAATGCTACTGAAGTCCTTATGACATCATTATTCTATGGTTTTGACTCTGGAAATCAAAATATACATTGCATGAAAATTTTTGGGTAGCAAAAACGCCCGGGGTATAACTTTCTATGCGGGGAAATTTTCACACTATGAAGAATAGTTATTTTACCTTCTGAACTTTATATAGGAAACATTTTAACAGAAGTATAATAATGATTTTTGTCCTGCCTGTCTGTTTGTTTGTCTGCAAACTTTTACCTTCGCCATACTTTTGAACATCAAAAAAAGAGACTTCATATTTAGTAAACATACTCCACTAATTGAGCTCTTTCAAATAACACCAAGGTCAATGACCTTGTGATTGACTTTGACCTATATGCTAAAAATAGATTTTTTGTCTGCAAACTTTAACCTTTGCTATACCTTTTGAACCATGAAAGACAGAGACTTCATATTTGGTATACATATTCCACTAATATAGCTCTTTCAAATGACATCAAGGTCAATGACCTGTTGATCTTGACTGTGACAAATTTGCTAAAAATAGCTTTTATAAACCTTCACCATGCTCAATTTTATACCATGAGAGATAGAGACTTCGTATTTGGCATGCATACTCCACAAATAAAGTCCTTTAAAATGACACAGAAATCATGAGACCTTGACTGTGATTTACCTGCAAAAAATAGATTTTTCATACCTTCACCATACCCTTTGAACCATAAAATAGAGACTGCATATTTCTTGTACAGTCTCTATCTCATTTTTGCCATTTTAAAGAGGCTAAATTAGTGGTTACCAAATATATAGTTTTCATCTTCCACGGTTCAAAAGTTATGATGAAGGTTAAAGTTTGCAGACAAATTAACAGACAGGACAAAAACAATATACGTCCCGGGTGCATAAACATGCAGATAAGTCTGTAGAGAAATTATTGATACTGTTCATACTGTACAATGTTTATCATTGAAATATATTTCGCACTTCTTAGCGCAACCATATGAATTTTTTGAACTACCAACTGAATATTCGCGATATCCGCGGTAAAAGTGGTTGCTACTTCAAATCCGCTTTGAAATAAAATCCATGTTGTTCAAGATATTGATCAGTTTTCCAGATACCGAAGTTCGATTGTACTTATGAAATATATACTCAGGTATATGCGTTTACAGGTCACCATAAGAGCTATCCAGGTAAAGGTTGTGACACTGACATTATTTTACAGATCAGCTTGTTTCGTTATCCATTTTAAGGCTGGTTAATATAAAGTTAATTTAGCTGGTAGAGTTTGCTAATGAGTAAACATATCAGTAGTGTCTAAGTAAATATCTGTTTTTAGTTTTGACAATGCCAGAGGTTTTGTTTTTTAATGAAAATTTATGGTACCTGATATTAGTTTTTACATAAATCATATATCACAATGAAGAAGATTAGAAAATGCCAAGCAGTCTGAAATAAATATGCTAACAGCCCAACAAAATTCTAATTAATATATTGCATGTAATATATTATGTACAAGTTGGCAAGTATTAATAAGACGGATATAAACATTGATAAGAATTTTTTTTTAAAAAGGCATCTACCAGGTAGTTCAAGTGACCAAAAAATTTGTCCCTGCATATACATTGTAGCTTCATAGCCCTCTGATTCTCGTCAACATTAAATGTATAGATATAAAGTCATTTTTAGCTCACCTGAGCCGAAGGCCCAATTTAAGTGAGCTTTTCTGCATTTACCGTCTGTCTGTAAACTTTTCACATCGACATCTTCTCAAGAACCACTGGGCCAATTTTGACCAAACTTGGTACAAAGCATCCTTGGGTGAAGGGAAATTTAAATGTTAAAATGAAGGGACATATCCCCTCACAAGGGGAGATAATCAAGAAAAGACAAAAATTGTTGTGTTAAAAAAATCTGAACCACTGGGCCAGTAAACGGAAACTTATGTGGAAGTGGTAATATAGATTCTAAATTGTTCAAATCATGACCCCCGGGGGAAGTGTGGGGCCACAATGGGGAATCAAAACATATCGAAGGCTAGTGAGCTTTTCTGATCACATAAAATTTCTGTAAACTTTTAAGTTTTGTCAAGGCCACTGGGCCAATTTTGATCAAATTTGGTACAAAGCATCCTTGGTTGAAGGGAAATTTTAATTGTTAAAATAAAGGGCCATGACCAATCACAAGGGGAGATAATCAAGAAAAGACAAAAATAGGGTGGGGTCATTAAAAAATCTTCTACTCAAGAACCACTGGGCCAGAAAAGCTTAAACTTATTGGAAGCATCCTAGGGTAGTGTAGATTCTAATTTGTAAAAATCATGACCCCCGGGGGAAGGGCGGGGCCACAATGGGGAATCAAATTTTTACATAGAAATAAATATGAAAAATCTTTGAAAATCTTCTTCTCAAGAACCACTGTGCCAGAAAAGCTGAAACTTATGTGGAAGCATCCTGGGGTAGTGTAGCTTTTTAATTGTAAAAATCATTACCCCTGGGGGAAGGGCGGGGCCACAATGGGGAATCAAAGTTTTACATAAAAACATATAGGAAAAATCTTTGAAAATCTTGTACAAGTAGGCAAGTAAAAATAAACTCATGTGGAAGATATAAAAGTGTAGATTCTAAAATTTTCAAAAAGGCAAATGGGGAATCAAACTTTTACATAGAAATATATAGGAAATATCTTTGAAAATCTTCTTCTCAAGAACCACTGGGCCAGAAAAGTATATAATGTGCACATGGCATGGGGTAGTGTAGATTTCAAAATGTCTAAATTATGATAGTGGTGTAATGTATATATATATAGTCATTTTCAGTTAATGGTGAGGTTTGTACAAAAAAAATAAATGAAACTGCAATCACCATAACAAAACGGCAAAAAAAAAGATTCAAAAAGTTTAACAATTTATTTCAAACAACACGTACAGACATAAATAAAATTAAATTTAACAATTCACTATTTATTTCATTTTGGTGAGAGTCCTTTGTTTTTCAGCATGCTCCACTATTTTCTCATCCACTTTGAGTCCCTTCCGTTTCCGGACCTGGTTCATATAATGTCTGGCTCTGTTGTCAGAGTCCGCCTTTTCTCCAAAATGAGCGTATTCCTCCTCTGTAGTGGGCACCCAGAAAGGGTCAACATCCAACACCTGTCAAAAATAACAAAATAAATGAATGAATGGCAATTGATAGCTTTGAATACCGGAGTGAAAAACTGTGAAAACTAATCAAAGAAAATCAGTATTATTTGTGAATCACTCGATCAAGTTTAATGGTAAAGAAAATTCAGGAAGTATGTGTACATATATGTTTATAAACAATCAATATTTATTTACTAATTACTGTAAAATTTTCGTGGGGTGGAATTTTTTAGGTTTGAGGAAAAAATATTGGTTTGTGGGGATTTGAATTCATGTTTTGAAAATGTTTGGTAGTAATGCATATGGAATTTTACATTTCGTGGTGGTCATATATTCGTGCGTCTCTCCATACCTCGAAAACAACGAAAACTAAACCCCCATGAAAATTAGTGATTTCACAGTATTTATTCCGTGTAACT